AAAAAAAAAAAAATGTGAAATTCAGAAAGCATTTACAATCTAGGCAGCTGAGGCGCTGAAGTCCTAAAAGACATCACCCAAACATCAGTGCCTGTGACCGCCCCCCTCCCACATACTAATTCTGGAAGTTAGGCATGGGATGCATTTGTAATACCCCTCTGCTTTGTGGTCCAGCTGAAAACAAAGCCACTGGAAGAAATTCTAAGTTGGATATTGGAACTCTTTGAAACTCCTGGTCCTCAGGAACCAAGCAAGTCCAGGGCCAGCAACAATGCTTGGGGACATAAGTTTCCTGAAGTTTGTGGCTGAAAACCAGGCCTTCCCTGGCATGGCCGAGGAGAGGGCCAGGTCTGAAGAGTGAGCCCCCTTCGGGGATGCCCCATAAATGATCATAGCTCTGGGGCTAAGACAAAGCAGTTGCATGCAGGATGCTCTCCTCAAAAGTGAGGCAAAGCGTCAGCAGGGAGGCTGAAGCAGCAGGTTTGCTCTTGCCCCCGAATGGGGCAAAGTAGAGGGATACCACGAGGGGAGCTGAGCACCGACCTCCAGGGAAACTGCTTGCGAATTCAAAAGCCACATGCTTCTGGAAAGCAACATGCCTTTCCCCTCAGTTTAGTCTGTAAGGGACATCCCCTTATCTTAGAACAGACTGTTGATCTCAGCCCAAGCTGCTGGCTCAGTGGGCTGAGCTTGAGCAGAGCTTGGGCTGCTCCCCCCAGGACTGGGCCCAGGGCCAACAGGGCCAGCTCCTTCAATGCAAGTGGCCTAACCAGAAAGGCAGGCACTCCACTGGGGACAGGCTCTCCTGGGGCAGTGTGTGAGGCCTGTGGTGGCTTGGCCCCCAGGCACAGCCACAGTTTGGGCAGCCAGGGTTCCTTCTGCATCCCAACAGCTCCTTTGTGTGACCCAAATGCTTCTCCCCACTGTCACAGTGTCTCAGCAGCCCACAGGAGATACTGTTACCAAAGACCCAGAGGTTTTGCACTGCCAGCCCCACACACAGGGCAGGGCAGCCCTTATCGGCTCTTGCTCCATGAGTACCCCCCTCCCCCCCATTAGTGGTGCAGGTGATGCTCTTCAGCGCTGCATAGAGAATAAAGACAACATGCACTCAAGCCAGCACACAAAGGCCAAGGAGAACAAAGACAGCCCCTTCAGGGAGGGGCCTCTGGGAGAGCTGAGGTTAAGTAACCCCATTTCTAAACATCCACCTCCAGGGTGGACGTTCTGCAGGATGCACGGCACAGCCTTCCCCTAGGGCCTCTGCTCAAAGAGGTCGTGATACTCCTGCTGCTCCAGCTCCCGGTTATACTTCTCGATTTCCCGGTTGGCTTCTTCCACGTAGTCATTCATGAACTGGTCCATGACTGGCATTTCATTAAGGAAGAGAGCCCTGATACTGGAGGATAAGGGAGCCTGTCCCAGCTCAGAGGGATCTGTGGGCAGGTGAGGTGGGGGACACTGACATAATGAGCGTCCAGCTCACACAAAGGGTACATGACTCTTATATTGGCAGCAGCACAGCTACAGAGAAGGGACTGGGGTTGGCACAGTCCTAGAGCTGAGCCCTTCAGCTTTCATGAAGACTCCTGTCTGCCTTCTCACAGATTAACTACTGTAATCACGTCTAGTCTCCAACTTGTAAATTAGGACCCCTGATGACCACAGAAGTCAGGATGTCACCACAGTTACATTTAAACTACAACCCACAGTTGCATCAGCAATCACTGAATGAAGGCGAAATTAATTTTAATGATGTTAAAAGGCCACAATGAAAAGTCTGCCTCTGTGGCTTGCTGTGTGTTCCCAGAACCCAGCTCGCTCTAAGGGCTTGGCTGTGTTGGCTCTAACACACAGCCTCTTTACAATCAGGCTTTCACATGTCCCCAAAGTTACTGCCCCTGATTCTAAGGATACGTGGGTGAAAATCAGTCTTGTCACCAAAGAAGTTGACAAACTGGGTGCCATTGTAAAAGTAGCCTGCAGGCAGGGGGTCCAGGTGGCGTTTCACCTGTAGGAAACAAGAGTCCTGTTAAAATTATTTGACCACTATGTATCATTTCTTATTCATTAGAAACAAATAAACATGCCTATTTCCCTAGCAAGAGAGCCTACTCTGCCCCAAGGAAGGCTAGACATGTCAGGGAATTAACACTTCCCCTCAGCAGTCCTCAAATAGTGACTGATGAAGGTTCCCCAGCTCTCAAGGAGGAACTCTAGGAGCCCCTCATGGGATTAAACTCCATTTGTCCTCAGTGGCACTGGTTTGATAACACAGTCTTTTTAGCTGTCTCCCCCCCCCTTTTTTTTTTAAAGTTTTATTTACTTATTTTGAGAGAGAATGTGAGTAGGGGATGGGCAGAGAGAAAATCCCAAGCAGGCCCCAGATGGTCAGTGTGGATGGAGCCTGATGCAGGGCTCGAACTCACGAACCATGAGTTCATGACCTGAGCCAAAACCAAGAGTCAGATGCTTAACCAACTAAGCCACCCAGGCACCCCTAGCTGTCTCCCCTTCTTTCTCCCCCTTACTTTCCTACTGCTGGTGACTCCTAAGAAGCACTTCCAGAATAAGCTACCTGCACTCAAATCCATGTTCAAGGTCTGCTTCTGGGGGAACAAATACTATAAGGACTGCCTTCTGGGTGTGTTCTTCAGAAGCACCCAGGGTTGCCAAGAACAGGGGCTGGAAATGAACGGGCCTCTTCAAGTCCAAAGCAAGGGCTCCTGAGGTCCCAGATTCTCTCCCACCCACTCATTACAGGGAACAGCGACACAGCCTGTTATGGAGCCTGGATTCTGTGTCCCTTTTAGCCTTTATCCCCAAGCCCCTCCTCAGTGGAGGTGGGAACTGGGCCACAGGCTGGGGGTCAGCTTACAGGTTGGGGGGTTCATCAAAGAGCCTCTCGTGCTGGTCCCAGGATTCCGCCATCTGCCTATTAGTAGCTTCTGGATCTAGACAGTTTTTTCTGGGCCCTTGTTATTTTAACTGTGGTTTATCTAGCATGGAGGGATGGGAGGAGAAAAGGACTTCTGTGGCAGATTCAACGGTGTGACAAAACAGGGCTCCCTGTCATCCCTTCCTCCTACAGGCACTGCTTCTCAATCTCATGCCCAGGTCACATCAGAGGTCACCTGGTACCCTCTTCCTCTTTCAGGCTACAAGGCTGGATGGGCTGAGGTTTCTCTGTGCCCAGCTTCCCTCTGTGGTCTCAGAGAAGCACAACATCCAGCATGCCCTACAAATAGGCTCCTCACTCAGGGAGTCCGAAAGGATGGAGCTGTGCCAGCCCAGAAGGATACCCTTGGGCTCTTAGGGGACTCACATGGATGTTCCTGATCTCCTGCTGGGTCAGCATCCCCCTGGTCTTCAGGGCTTTCCTCTGAGGCTTCTGTGCAGAGATGAAGGAAGGAAGGGAGGGGTCAGGTCTCCAAAGAGCTGATAGAGTACATGGCGGGTGAGGGCTCTGGGAGCTAGTTACGGGACTAAGATCCCAGCAGCAGGGAAAGCACAAGCACGGTCATGGCCTGGACACAATATCCTGCCTGTGTGCTCAATGAGACCACCCTCCCAACATAGAACCCTGTATGCCAGGGGAAGCAAGCAGCAGAGGAAACACCGGTGCTTTTTGCAAATAGGCACGTTCCTGTCTGTGCAGATCCTCAACTCTAAAGCCCAACCAGTGACAGATATGCAGACAAAGGGACAACATGAAGTCCCCTAGTCAAGCACCAGTTTATAATGGAAAGACACAGCCCACAGGCAGCCATTCCTCAGTATAAAAGACAGGTTCCAACTAAGCATCTGCAAAGGAGCCAGAACCCAGCCAACTCTATTTCCAGGGTTCTAACTCAGGCCAAAACCCTGAGGCTGTGCTAAGAGGCCTAGTACCCAAAGCTTGCATCATATTAGAGGATTTTAACTGGGTTTCATCTGGGTTTTATTTTTCTTTGCAGTACTGGGCTAAAGATGCTTGTGTGCCTCTACAGGCAAGCGTCCTCTTCCCTTGCACCTGTTTCCAGGGCCCTGGGCTCACTGCTATCAGTGCTTGAAGTCTTGGTTTGCAAATAGCTATAAGCGTATCTTTGTCATTTCTCTTTTCTAGAGAGAGAACCAAATTTAAAAGGATTCTGGGCTTAGAACACAGGACAGCCCTTGATTTAGGTTCAGCTAAGAAAAGACATTTTGAGTTTGAGTTTAGACTGCCAGGCTGATCCAGGATCCACGTGGAACGGCCAGGTTTCACCCAGGACCTAGTTAAGCCACCTAATAACTGCAGTTTGCCTTGGCAGTAGAATTAGAAATGGCTGTAAGACCAGGTCTGCCTTGAGGCTGCCCTGGGTGGCTTCCTCCCAATCACAAAGCATCCCTGAAAGTGCTGGCTGAGCCTGTGAAGGGCGGACCGGGAGGGAGGTCATGAAGGGGCTTCTACCCCACAGCCAGGAGCAGCTCCGAGGTGTGCTGCTCACATCTGTGCCTGGTGTGTCTGGGCTTTGGAAACCACCTGCTTAGCTGACTGCCGCAGCCAGTCCTTGATGTTTTCTTCCTTCAGGGAGCAGCCAATGAACACGAGGTAGCTCTCCTGCTGCCCGTTGCTGTCCTGAGGTGTGCTTCGGGAATCGGGTGGTGGCGAGGGTCCTTCTAAAACTGGGACGATGCTCAAGGAATTGGCCAGAGTGTTGTGGCAGACCTCCATGGTCCTCTCAGAGTCTGCAGGGAGAACACACGTAGGCCCTGAGCCCCAAAAAGATAAAGCTACACTAAGATTGTAACATGCAGATGGTTGGGGACAGATTCCTGTGACACGCAGGAGGGAGAACTGATTGGTGGCAAGCTAGAAAGCATGAAATAAGAGAGGGAGGAGCAATGTCAGTTTCTGGCTTGGCTGATTTGGTAATCAGGTAGAAACCACTAACCCAGAAAGGGAATACAAGAGAGCCCTTTTGGTCTCAGCAGAGCCCTGAGAAGCCAAGGGAAGAGGGTGTGTCAACCAACACACAAGTGTGGCAGGAAGGTCACATGATAGGAACAGGAAAGATTGGGTTTATAGACCAAGAAGCTGGGGGCTAGTAGTGGTGACCCAAGAAAATGGCAAGGTTCCCCTAAAAAGCAGGATGAAAAAAGGGATCCAGAACACAGAGAGGTTAACCTTGAATAACAAAAAGGTCAAGAGAAGGTCTAAATAAAGAAGAAAACAAGGTGAGAGGAAAGGTGGAGGCATTATGACCTCTGAAGCAGGTCTGTTGGAGCCTGAGGGAAGTGGGCTTCAGTAAGGGGCCAAAGTTTCAGATTCAATAACATAAATTAGGCCAAAAGTATGGGTTCAGGACCTTGAGAGATTCTTTTATATAGGTGATGTCATCTAATTCTCCCATCCAAATCCAGATGGTCCCATGCTTACAACTCTCAGTGGCTCCTTACGGCAGACACTGACTGTTGCCTGTCCAGCCTCCCCCTTTCACCAATACCAATTCCCCATGGGTGATGGGTCCTGGAAGGCACAGCAACTCAATCCTGGCCAATAAGAGGAGAAGTCTGCTGAGACTGGCAGGAGATGCCTCAGTAAAAGCTGTGTGTATTGATAAAGCCACCCACAGGAAGAGCCTCTCTTATCAGCTGGATGTTGTGTCTGGGTGGGACACCTAGACCTGCAGCACTATCTGCAACAACGAGGGGTGGGGACCTGACACACTAAGACTGGAAGGACCCACGTTACCTGTGTCCTCCGTGGCCTTGCTATGCTGCTTGACCTCTCGACTTCTCATTATGTAGCTAACACCTGCTAGTTGAGTTGGTGTTTGCTGTTGTGACAGCTACAAACACCCTAACAGTCCCACTAGGTCCCTGCCACAGTGAACCTTTTTTGGTTCCTGAAATATGCCTTTTTTGCTTGGTTCCAAAGCACATGCTATGCCTTTTCCCTGGAATATTCTCCCCTTTCTCAATGTTGAGTTGACTAACTAACCACCTCCAGCCAGGATGGACAGACTTCAGGTCATGAGGGCTCCAGAGGTCTATGGCTGATAAACAGAACTAGTGGACAGAAGGGAGAAGGAAGGCTAAAGGCTTGAAGACTTTGGCAGAAACGGATGTGGAGCTGGAGAGCTCGGCACTGGGGCAACTCCTGGTGACAGGTCTAGGAGGCCACGGATGGCTTGAAAGGGGTGTGTGAGTCTCTGGAACAAGGAAGTCAAAGAGCTGTGAGGAGAGGCTCTGGGCAGGACATCTGGGGGAAGAGAGAACACATCTTCCACTGTGGAGCAGCACCTGCAGCAAGGTGGGGGAACTAGAAGAGCTACTGGTGTCAGGCCCACATGGGAGGGTTTTCCAGAGTCTGAGAGGCATCTGTGCTCTGCAGAGCATCAGTAGAAACTATGAACCCACATCATGAGATGTAAGCATTCCATAGTGCAGGACTCCCAAATCCAACTCCCCAGTTACCTGAAAACTTCACTTTGCCCAGGATGTGGTAGATGTTTCCAGAGAAGGGACTTGGCTTGATGGAAGACTGAATTGCTGGTGGAAGAAGAGGACAGGGCTGTCACCCACCCTGGGGCAGAGGCCAAGTTCAGGGCACACAGCTGGGAGAGAGTTAGGGTCTGGGAAGGATCCCCACTTGAGGGACCGGGGCTTGTAAGTCCTCCCTCCACCACACCCTCCCCAGTGGCTCTGCCACTCTTCCCAGGGTCGGGGTACTCCTGGGTCCTCAAATCCCTCTGTTTTCAGACCCCAATAGTGAGGAGACATGACAACACACATAATACTAAAATGGTGCCAGGAAGCAGGGACAACTCTGGGTATTCTTTTATTAGGGTCTGGGACATGTCCTAACCAAGGCTTACCTTTACACTTGGCCACAAAACGAGTCTTCTCCAAAGGACGACCAAACCATACGCAGATCTGAACCATTAGTGGAAAGACTGATCCAGCATCAAATTTACCTTCATACCTTAAAAGGTTTAAAAAATTGTAAGTACGAGTAATTGGGGCTTTGAATGTTATTATATGCTACTCTGGGATGAACTACTTTGAGTTCCTTCTTACTTATGTGCCATTTTATGTATAAAACACTTGTTTTAAATATGTGTATGTCTTTTTCATCTTGAGATTGGGAAGCATGTTGCCCCATTAGAGCAGGGAGGTCTCACCTCTGCAGACAAGCAGTTCCCTGAAGCCCAAGACCCCATCTACCTTTGAAGCCTACCGGTATGCCACCTGAGATTGGGGGTCCTCCCTGGCACTCCTGGAGCTCTTCCTCAGGGCCTTAACTGTACCCCACCCTTGTTGAGGGCAACTTAACAGACTGTACATTTGGATGTGTATACTCCCCAGAAGGAACCAAAGGGCTGGGGCATCTCTGCTCTATTTTCTCAGTTTTGAATTCAGCAGACATAATGCCAACCACAAACTCATTAAAAACATGCCATATTCAAGCATGCCTGGCTGACTCAGTCAGTGGAGCATGCGACTCTTGATCTCAGGGTTGTGAGTTCAAGCCCCACACTGGGTGTAGAGATTGCTTAAAAATTGAAAAAAAATCTTGGGGCGCCTGGGTGGCGCAGTCGGTTAAGCGTCCGACTTCAGCCAGGTCACGATCTCGCGGTCTGTGAGTTCGAGCCCCGCGTCAGGCTCTGGGCTGATGGCTCAGAGCCTGGAGCCTGTTTCCGATTCTGCGTCTCCCTCTCGCTGCCCCTCCCCCGTTCATGCTCTGTCTCTCTCTGTCCCGAAAATAAATAAATGTTGAAAAAAAAAAAATTAAAAAAAAAAAAAAAATTGAAAAAAAATCTTAAAAAAAAAACTAAAAGAACATGCCACATTCAGAGCACTTAAAAAGTTTAAGTTTTTGTTATGGAAAATTTAAAACACATGCAAAGACATTGCAATACACCCCCATTACCCAGCTTCCAAAGTTATGGAATTGTCATTCCTTCTGCTGAAGGAATTCCTTGAGATGGATCCCCATGATGGAATCAATGCAGTAAAGGGTGTAACCATCTCCTGGGTTATAATTTATACCACTCCCAGTAGCACATGAGTGTCTCAGTTTCACAGGGCCCCCAGCAATGATTCTTACAGATATTTTTGGTTAAATGTAATAGATGTCAATCAAAACAACAGTGAGGCATCATTTTACATTTCTGAATATTACTAAAATGGAATTCTGTTACCACGGCTGCCACTAATACTTGCTCTAAAGTGAACTGTCCACATCTACATGGACTAGGTTACTTTTCAATATCAAAATAAACTTCTCAAATATTATATTAACTCTTTGCCACATATGATGCAAACATCTTCTTCCAATCTATTATATTTTATTAGTTTCTTTTGCTCTAAAATAGCACTACAGGGGCACCTGGGTGGCTCAGTCGGTTAAGCATCCAACTTTGCCTCAGGTCATGATCTCATGGTTCATGAGTTTGAGCCCTGCACTGGGCTCTCTGCTGTCAGCTCAGAGTCCACTCTGGGTCCTCTGTCCACCCCCGCCTCTCTGCCCCTTCCCGACTCATGCTATCTCTCTCTCTCAAAAATAAACATTAAACATTTTTTAAATAAAATAGCACTACAGGTCTGAATTTTATATCATATATATTGTTGAAAGTTATCTTACTCTTTGTGCTTTCTTTAAAGTAAGGCAGTGGCATAACATTTTTGTAATACTGACATATTCTTTTTGCCCTCTCCCCATCCAAACAAGTCATGGGAGACCATGGGCCTCTCTGGCTTCTTTATTCAGAGCCCGAATCCATAGTGAAATTGGGAGGGGCTAAGGGAAGAGAACAGGTATCCTCCCAGACTAGAAATAAGCCTAGGAGAGATGTGGGCAGGGTCAATGAGCACAGAGAGGGTTGTGGTAGGGGATGTTGAGAATCTGTACAGCACAGAGCTGAGCATATCCTAGAGCTAAAGCCTACTCCCTCTGAGGTGGTGACCCTGACCCAATGAGGAAGGGGGAAAATATACAGATGTGCAGGAGTCTGATGGCTGCCATCTTGTTAAAAGACTAAATTACCCGATTCCTAGGAAGGGACTCAGAAGGGGAAGGTGCTGAAGGGTGATTTCTGAGGCCCCCTCCATCATTGATTCTCTGCAAGGGCTGATCAAGGGAAGGCTTCAGGCTAAAGGTTCACAGAGAGACTTTTTTTTTTTTAACTTTTTAAATATGATTGTTTATTTTTGAGAGAGAGAGAGGCGTAGAGAGGGAGACACAGAATCTGAAGCAGGCTCCATGCTGTTAGCACAGAGCCTGATGTGGGGCTCAAACTCCCAAACCATGAGATCATGACCTGAGCTGAAGTCGGATGCTTAACTGACTGAGCTACCCAGGTGCCCCCACAGAGCATTCTAATGAATCCTTTACACCTGGCTTTTTCCTGGATCACTGTCTGCAGGAAAGTCTGTACCTGGAGCTAGGTTCATGTGAACAATTCCCAAGAATGAGTCACCATGGATTAGAGAATGGGTGCTTCCCTAGGCACTACGTGGAAAAAGCAGGAATTTCAGCACCAGGCCCAGAGGTGTGGCAGGAAAAGGGTGAGTAGCTGTAGTCACTGGAGAGGAGGGTTTCACCTCAGATGCTCAGATGCTCCATCTGTTTCTTTTTAGCTAGGATGGAATTGTCTTGTTCAGGCATAAGGAATGATCTACTTACCCACTGTTTAAGCAAGTATGTAGCTCAAATCAGAGATTCCTTCTAAGAATATGCCTAACAGCCTTCAATTTCACACATTGGATTTTTTAAAGTTTATTTATTTTGAGAGAGAGAGAGAGAGAGAGAGAGAGAGAGAGAGAGAAAGGGAGAGAAAGGGAGAGAGAGGGAGAGCAAGAGGGAGAGCAAGAGGGAGAGCAAGAGCAAGAGCGAGAGCGAGAGCGTGCAAGCAGGGGAGGGGCAGAGAGAAAGGGAGAGAATCCCAAGCCAGCCCCGTGCTGGCTGTCAGCACAGAGTCCGACACGGGGCTCGAACCCACGAACTGAGATAATGATTTGAGCAGAAACCAAGGGTCAGATCCTCAACTGACTGAGCCACCCAGGTGCTCCTGGACTTGTTATTTTAACAGCACAGCACAATCATTTTTCTGCTGGTCTAAAAAGATACTGGTGACACAAGGGGTGGTGTGGAGAATGCAGAGAGGTGTCTGGGGGAAGTGAGTAAGGATAACAAAGATAATCCAAATTAACACGAGAGAATACTTTTGGCCAAGCTTTAGTAATTGTCTTCCCCTGAACCATCACCAGGGCAGAACCCAGTTAACCGTTCTATACAGGGACAAGCACAGCATGATGGTTGCATGTACCGGCTCTGGAGCCGCACACCCTGGGTGTGAAAGCCACAGCCCTTTCGCTTACTGGCTGTATGAATGTGAACACGCCTTTAACTCCTTGCTGCCTCACTTACCTTATCCTTAAAATGTGGAAAGTAATACAGCCTACCTCACAGGCTTGGCTTGAGGATTCGTGCGATAACAGGTAGAGCTCTTAGGGTAGCACTGTCCAACAGAACTTTCTGTGACGATGCAAATATTCTGGATCTGCACAGCCCAACGTGGTAGCTGCTGGCCACAGGTAGCTACCGAGCACTTGAAATGTGGCTTGTATGACTGAGAGACTGAATTTTACATTTTATTTAATTTTTATTAATTTACATTTTACTAAATAGCCAAATGCGGCTGGTGGCTACTGTCCTGGAAAGCTTAGAACAATGTGTAGTACACAGTGAGTGCTCAAGTGATGTTGGCCCTGGTGTCACTACAGCGCCCTTGGCACTCTCTTTCCTTCTCCCCTCAGAGGAGAGGTTCATAGGCTGAGAGGCTGCCAAGAGAGAATAAACATCCCTTGGGCCACAACAGCAGGGAACCTACCTGTCAGGTGGGATCCCTTAGAGGACTGTATTCTTAGGAATGACTCTCTCGTGGTAAGGTTGTCACTCCTTGGTTCTGTGCCAGCCACCTCACCCTCACTAGAGGCTAGAGGAGACAAAGGACACCGTGTGCTTGGTGCCCACAGAGCCACTCCCTAAGTCTCAACATCCAGCAAGGCCCCCAAGTTGGAGCCCAACATGTGTGGGGCACTGGGCTCCTGGCACGACCAGCAGCTGTTGGGACATGGCAGGCCATCCCAGCGGCCACTGTCACCCTGGCAGAACACTTGAAATTTCACTTTCTTTTTTTTTTTTTTCTGTAAATATATCATTGTGTTTACAAAGAAACCTCAGCTACTTTTCAATGATGATACTTGCCAGCCGGGGTACATTAAATATCGAGATCGCAGCATCTGAGGACTTGAAAAACTATTTTCTGAGAGAATCAGCTCAATGTCTTCATTCCTTTGAAAACATACAGAAAAACCCACGTTAATTAGGATGATCAATCTTAATCTGCCCATTTTGCTTCCTCCCCTTTGTCTCCACAGACACACAAGCACATATGCATACATTTATTTCTGTTACTTCACACCTAAGTCCTTCAGTATACCTCTCCCAAGAACAAGCACATTCTCTTCCAGAAGCACAATACTATTATCACATCCAAGGAATACAATACTGTGGACCAGCAGTACTAGTATCACCTGCAAGCTCACGAGAAACAAAATCCCAGGTCCCACTCCAGACCCGCTGAATCAGAACTCTCATTTTAAGAAGATCCCTAAGAGATCTATATGCAGATTAAAGTTGGAGAAGTACTGATCTAATCCATTTTCAAATTTTCCCTTTTTTGCAGGAGAGGTCTGGGACCCGGGATCTACACCAATCCAAGATTGCTCACTGAATTTACAATCTTTATTTTCCTTTAATCTTGGGGCCCCTGGGTGGCTCAGTCGGTTAGGCGTCTGACTTCGTCTTGATCTCGCAGTCAGTGCGTTCGAGCGCCGCATCAGACTCTGTGCTGACAGCTCAGAGCCTGGAGCCTCCTTCAGATTCTGTGTCTCCCTCTCTCTCTGTCCCTCCCTGCTTGCACTCTGTCTCTCTCTCAAAAATAAACATTAAAAAAATTTTTTATTTTCCTTTAATCTGGAATAATTCTTCTAACTTTGCTGTTGTTGTTTCTCACGGAGTAGACATTTTTGAAGAGTACCTGCCGGCTGTCTTGTGTCCCACAATCTGGATTTACCTGGTTGTTTCCTTATGATTAGAATCCGTTAAATATTTTTGGTCATATTAATACCTAGGTGATGTTGTGTCCTTCCCAGAGCATCACATGAAGGAAGCATGTGATGTCAATCTGTGCAAATAATGGCCTTGCTAAGTTTAATCATTTAGTTAACGTCAGGTCTACTACATCTCTCACTGTGAAGGTACTTTCCTCTCACTGTAAGCAGTAAGTAGTCCATGGAGTGATACTTTGAGAACAGTTAATATCCTTTTCATCAACAATCTGTCACCCACCCGTTCTTAGTATTCAATGATGATTCTTGCCTAAATCAAGTGCTATAGTAACTGTTATAAAATGGTGACTTGCTAGTTCTAAAAATCCTTATTAGTGTTAAAGGAGATTTACTATCCTGCCCCTCCCATTTTTTTAGTATCACCATGGACTCATTTTACTCCATGTGCTATACTCTGTTATTACAATTGTTTTCTCTTATGCTCCACGTGTCCCAGTGTGGCCAGTGAGAGCTTCTTGAGCTAGCTCCTGCATCCTTTTGGCACATCTCTACTAATCTCTGAGTGTCTCCTTGCTTTTTTTTTTTTTTAGCACAAAATGTACCAGGTTTACCTTGTACTTTCCCTGCCCTAGACCTGTAATCAGCCAATTCTCTAAGGAGTGCTGATAACTTTAATTGGGAACTGGTATATGTAGAAACCAGGACCTAAAGGTAGGGGTATTTATTCTACTGTGGTATTAGTATTTCTGGTCCCTTTCAATGGGAAGAGCTAGAAAATACACATTTTTTAATTGAAATACTGAACTTATATTGAGTCCATTCACAGGGTTTCTCTTCCCTTTTCCCACTTCATATTTATTATCTTCCTTATCTAACAAGTGATGTTTGAAATCAGGGTTCCAATGTTTATGTTTAAAAATTTTTGAAAAATGTTTATTTATTTTGGAGAGAGACCGAGTGCGAGCAGGGGAAGGGCAGAGAGATAGGGAGACACAGAATCTGAAGCAGGCTCCAGGATCTGAGATGTCAGCACAGAGCCTGATGTGGTGCTAGAACCCACAAACCGTGAGATCATGACCTGAGCTGAAGTCGGGATGCTTAACTAGCTGAGTCACCCAGGCACCCCTCCAATGTTTATGTTTAAAAGTTATTTGAATTAATTGTTTTGTGTGTGGTCATTATTACTTTGATATACAAATGGATTCACTTTTTCATTTAGTTTTATCCCTCTTTGTCAATTTAATTTCTGAATATGTAAAATATTTACATTGCTCAAAGTCAAAATTATATAAAAAGTATGTACCTTTTAGTATATCTTTATTGAGCAAATAAATGTGCTTTATGACCAGATGTTTCCTCTTCACACACACACACACACACACACACACACACACACACACACACACACACAGAGTCATCAATTCTCTATTTTTAGTTTGTAATTTGGACCCAAGTCCATGAAGTAAAAAGCTCATTTCTCTACGTTCTCTATCCCATTTCTTTCACATCTTAATACAAGTAATATTGAGAGTCTTGACTTCATTCTTTAATGGATGAAAATGTGAATCCATCAAGACAAAATCTCTCAAAACAGTACAGGATACTGACACATGGGGTCGTCTTGCTGATTTTTGCGCAACACCAAAAGCACTTCTATAAATGCCCAGGTCTTAGATACAGTACAAAGACCCTGTGGGCCATAGCCAGAGTGTGGTGTCTGAGAAAGTGGCTGCTCCTATAGGGTGAAGTGAACTTGGTAAGTTTACCTGGTGACAATCCCATTTTCTGCAAGAATGAAGGCTGCAGTAGGATTGGCAGCCCTGATGAGGGTCTGCAGCTGGACAAGGAGAGGGTGCCTCTGCTCCGTGGTGTGACTGGTGAATACCACATTACTCACCAGGCCTGGGGAATAAAACCAAGAACGGTTCAGGCTTCAGAGTCCTTACTGGGGCTGAGGGCTCACACAAATGTGGGCCCTTGCCTCCCTCCCTGATCATCCCTTCTAATAGGGGTCTTATGTAGATGCCCCTGACCCCCCAACACCTGTTCCCCTTTCTGTCATTGCACTTCTTGCGGTGAATGGCCTCAACCCTGGAACTGCCTTACTTCTTAACCTTCTCTATTTTCTCAATTCTGCTTTCCAGCTGACACCTGGAGCTTCTTTATCAAAGGGCCCATTCCACATCCCTTTTATCCTTAACCTCTGCAGGAAACTGTGCCACACACCTTCACCAGTTCAGACCACAGACATTTACCAAGCACTAACCATACATCAGGCACTAACTCTTAGATTCTCAAAGAGTGCCCAGCCAAGGAGTCACTTACATGCACCTAATTCCAAGATAAGTGCTAACACAGGCATTCACAGTCATACAATAAGAAGAGTGGCACATGTAATGAGGGATTGTGAAGTGGGTCACAATACCTCCCAAACTTCCATAAAAATACAGAAGGAAAATTTATGCTATAGAGAATCTGGAAATCAGGGAAGCTACCTTATCCCACCATACCAATGTAATTATAATACCTCTTCCATACTCATTCCTGTTTTGACATAGTTATGATCATAGCACACACACCATTTCTACTACAAGATCACTTGCATTTTTATTATTCAACCATTTTCATTCACTTAATATTACTGTGAAAATTTCAAACATATACAAAAATTTTAATTTGAAATGGTTATTTATTTATTTTTGAGTGAGAGAGCACGCGTACAAGCAAGGGAGGGGCAGAGAGACAGAAAGAGACACAGAATCTGAAGCAGGCTCCAGGCTCTGAGCTGTTAGCACAGAGCCTGATGCGGGGCTAGAACCCACAAACCGTGAGATCATGACCTGAGCTGAAGTCGGGACGCTTAACCAACTGAGCCACCCAGGTGCTTCAACATATACAAAAATTTTAGAAGTAGTATAATGGGGGCACCTAGGTGGCTCAGTCAGTTAAGTATCTGACTCTTGGTTTCGGTTCAGGTCATACTCTCATGGTTTATGGGATTGAGCCCTGCTTCAGGCTCTGTGCTGACAGCATGGAGCCTGTTTGGGATTCTCTCTCTCTCTCTCTCTCTCTCTCTCTCTCTCTCTCTGCCCTTCCCCTATTCATGCTCTCTCTCAAGATAAATATTAAAATATAACAGTATAATAGTATAACGAACTCCCATGTGCCCATCATCTGGCTTTAAGAATGAACAACATATGGGGTGCCTGGGTGGCTCGGTTGGTTAAATGTCCGACTCTTGGTGTTAGTTCAGGTCACTATCTCATGGTTCGTGGGATGGAGTGCCAGTTAGGGCTCCAAGCTGACAGCACAAAGCCTGCTTGGGATTCTTTCTCTCCATCTCTCTCTGCCCCCTCCCCTCTGGCCTGTGTGTTCCATTTCTCTCTCTCAAAATAAATAAGTAAACTTAAAAAAGAAAAAAGAATTAACAACACTTGGCTAATTCTTCCATACCATATGCCAGCCTTTTCCCCTTTCCCCCTGGATGATTTTGAAGCCAATCTCAGACATCCTATTATTTTATCCAAAAATATTTTAGTATATATATCTCCATAAGATGACCCTTTAAAAAGTTAAAAATTAACAACAAATTCTTCAATATAAAAAATAATATAGTCCATGTTCAAACTTCTCTGCCTCATGAATGTTTTTCTAGTTAATTTTTTTGAATCAGGAACCAAAGTCCACACACTGTATTTCACGGATATATCTCCTAATTCTCTTTCAATCTGTAGTGTCTCCTTATTTCCATGTAATGTTGCTTAACATACTAGTAGCTATATCTCTTTTATAGATTCAATCTTTTTAAATATAAATTATTAAAAGAATTTCTTGTTCTTTTTCCAACGTAAGTTGAATGCTTAATTCATTATTTTAAAAAGTTATGTCTTGGGGCACCTGGGTGGCTTAGTTGGTTAAGTGTCTGATTTTTGATTTTGTCTCAGGTCTTAATTTCATGGTTCTTGAGATTGAGCCCCGAGTCAGGCTCTGTGTTGACAGTGTGGAGCCTGCTTGGGATTCTCTTTCCATCTCTCTTTCTGCCCCTCCTATGCTCTGCTCTCTCTCTCTCTCCCTCAAAATACATAAATAAACATTTAAAAAAGTTATTTCTTGTTTAGTAATGTCATAACTTAAGGGTACATGCTTTCTTTTGAATTATTTGGCATAGAAATACTCATAACAGGTTGTATAGATGGTATCCTTTATCATGAAAAACTGCCTTTGAAACTTTTCAGCTTTTTGGTTTGAATTTAACTTTGCTGTTAGTGTCACCTCTTTCCTTTTTGTCTATATTTGTCTGTTATGTTTTTTCCCATTCTTTTATCATCATCCTTATTTAGATTTGTATGCTTCTCTTGTATACAGCATCACAGAATTAGGTTTTGTTTTTTGGTTTAATCTGAGATACTTTTCCTTTTAATATGTGTTTATCCCATTTACATTTACTGACACTTTGGTTCTTTTTTTTTTTTATTTTTTATTTTTTTTTTTTAAAATTTTTTTTTTTTTTCAACGCGTATTTTATTGTCATGGGACAGATCAGAGACAGAGGAGCATGAAACTGGGAGTGGGTGAGAGAGAGAGGGAGACACAGTAATCGAGACAGGCTGCCCGGCTGTATCAGCCCGAGCCTGACGTGGCTCGCCGATAGACCGCTTAGATCGATCGACCTGGCTGAAGTCGGACGCTTAACCGACTGCGCCACCCAGGCGCCCCGACACTTTGGTTCTTTCACCTTGGTTATACTGACCTGCTTAAGTGTCCTTTTTTTTTTTTTTTTTTTTTTTTTATCTTTAGCAGTATTATCTCTGCATTCCTTATTTTTTGTTTTCTTCTGATAAGTGGTGGGCTTATAGTCTGTTTTTAGTTCTACAAATTTGGCTATCCTACAGGCAGCTTTAAAAGTATCTTTTTTGAAGTTTATTTATTTGTTTTGAGAGCGATAGATAGAAAGCAAGGGAGGGGCACATAGAGAGGGAGGGAGAGGGGGAGAGAGGGAGAGGCGGGGGGGGGAGGGGGGAGAGAGAGAGAGAGAGAGAGAGAGAGAGAAAATATCCCAAGCAAGCTCCATGCTGTCAGCAAAGAGCCTGACTTGGGGCTTGAACTCATGAACCAGGAGATCATGACCTGAGCTGAAATTGAGAGTCAGACGCTTAACTGACTGAGACACTTTTTAATAGATCTAAATCACTGTTTCTTATAATGTCCCTTTTAGACAATGTCTACTGGCTTTTCTACGTGACTGATGTGGAAGCTGGTAAGTGTTCTTCCCATTTCCACCGTCACTTTCTGGTTGGTTATATTATTTAGTTTCTCCAGTGAATGTTCTTATATCTTTAAAACTATATACTAAGAATTTAACTCTTTATAACTTGATTTTACTGCTCTAAACTTTATTGATCTCCCACTTTGGAAGATACAAACAGAGTTATTTCCTGCTGCCTTGTAATTCTTTGTTAAATATAATTTCATTTTATAAATCTTCAAGATTTTCAACATTTATATTCTTTTTTTGAAAACTTTTAAGTTTATTTATTTTGAGAGACAGAGAGCAAGTGGGGGAGGGGCAGAGAGAGAGGGGGAGAGAGAGAGAATCCCAAGCAGGCTCTGCACTGTCAACGCAGAGCCCAATGCAGGGCTTGATCTCACAAACTGTGAGATCGTGACCTGATCTGAAACCAAGACTTGGACGCTTAACCAACTGAGCCATCCAGGCGCCCCTATATTCTGTTTTGTAATAGAATTTTCATGGGTATTATCATTAACTCCGTATCTAAGGATCAATTCTCATCATCAATCTTGTTTTTTTTTAAGTTTATTTATTTTATTTTGAGAGAAAGAGAGCACGAGCAGGGGAAGGGCAGAGAGAGAGAATCCCAAGCAGGCTCTGCACTGTCAGCACAGAGCCCGACATAGGGCTCGATCTCACAAACCGTGAGATCAGGAGCTGAGCTGAGATCAAGAGTCAGATGCCTAACCTTGAATGAGCCACCTAGGCACTCCGAGACTAGCTCTGATAAATGATTAGTTCATAAGCAATTATTTCTAAATTACAGAGACGTCAACTTTCCTATGTAACCTTGTAATTGTAGGATCCTGAATAATGAACACTCAGTATAGAGGACTCTGTACTGATTTAGTTCAGCTGGGTGTTTAGTTCAAAAAAATTAGCTATATTTAGTTTCCGAGGGCAAAACTCAAACAAGGTAAAGAAGGGTTTACAGATAAAATAAATTCCCTTCCTCCCCAGCCACCTAGTTCTCTTCCCTGAAGGCAATCACCATTATCAGATTCTCAGCTCTTCTTCCAGGATGTGCTAAGTATGCACAAGTAAATGTGTGTATGCTTTTCTCCCCCCACAAACAGTGGCATGTTATACGGTTCTGCACCTTGTTTTTTTAAGTTTTTTAACCTTTTAATTTTGGTAAAGCTTACTTCTTCATTAAAATTTTCCCTAGTATCTTACCATTTCAATCCTTCCCTCATTCCACTCTGCTCCTCCTCTTCTCTAAACTATAAAAGTTCCTTCCTATAAATAACACAGGTGGTGTTTAAAATACAAGACTCATATTCTTATTTATCTTCTTCATATACGTAAAAAGACAGCATGATGTAAAGATTCAAGCATGGGTTTTAGAGCCAGGCAGACCTTGAGTTTGAATGTAGGGTTCCACTAATTGCTAATGAGTGACATCAGGGGCAAACTCCTCTCTCTGAGCCAAATTTCCTCCTCTGTTAGATGGGAACAATAACACATACCTGCAGGTTATCAGTAAATAGTTTTCACAGGGCCTGCAGATAGAAAGAACTCATTAAATGCAACTTATGGCCACCACCACTACCACCATCCTCATTACCAGCGCAGCAACAGCTTAAAATGGGACCTCTATGTGTACACTGAGGGGCTTGGACTAATCCATTTCTCAGACCAACAGGGTGGCTGTGGCAGGTGGGCCTCAGCCATAGCAACCAACAGGAAGGTAAATGAGTGGCCATCACTAGATCAAAGGCAACTTCCAGGATCCTTGGCCCCTGCCTCTAGTCTGTGGCAGAAGTAAATTATACTTCCTTCCTCTCACTACTCATACTAATGAGAAAAGTGTTCCAAAATTGCTAAAGACTGAATCTAACCTCACAAATTGTCTGGATGCATTCCATTCATGACTAGGGAGCAGGGATTAGGAACTTCATGCCAATGGTCACATGTTAACACGGGGAAAAGGGCACACACAAAGCACAAAGGTTATGTATCATGCCCGGGACCACAGATGCCAGGACTTACAGCTGACCTGCCAAACACAGAACCTTCTTCCTAAGTGCTTATGTATAGTTTAGGGATCTATCAGTTCCTTGATTCTAAGATGCAGGTCCTACTCTTCTCACGTATCTGTTTAGTGCTCAGCTATTAAGTTGACCTTACGCCTCTGCACAGTGCTTGAGGGACCTCTAAGGATTCAAGGGTGAGTTTCCTCAATGGCTTTCCTTAAAATCTAAGTGGTGAGGGCAGCTCTGCCTCCTCCTCTGGTCTCTTGGTGAAAGGCTTCCTGGTTCCCCAAATGTGGGCCATGCAGGCACCAGAATCCTCCTCTAGGCCTGGTGAGTGCCAAGTAGCTCCTGGATCCATCATCCACTCTCAAGCCTGGCTACTGTTTGTCTAGTGCAGTCTACCACTTTCTTCATTAGGTCACTGCTTACTTTGTGCACTTCCAGGCTGTTTTTACTACAATTCATTTTAACTACTATCTTTCAAAAGAGTTATCTTTCAAAACCAGAAAATCTGATCTTATCACTTCCCTACTTAAAATATTTCAATGCATTCCAGGGACTGCAAACTTCTTGGCCTGCCTGACCTATCTGCCATGCTGTGCTTCCTCAGTGGCCTGGGTATGCTCTGGTCACCATCAGGCCTTTACTCTTATTGTTCCTTCCACCTGGAACCATCTGTTCTTTCCTCTTTGTTGGCCCAACTCCTCTTTCAGGCTATAGACAATGTGAATAGCATCTCTTCCAGAAGGCTTCCCTAATCCCCAAGGACTGGGTTAGAGCAGGAGCCAGATACAGATTTGTTGAATAAATGAATGAATGAATCAAGTATAATAAAAGATACATGCAACCTGATCTCCAGGGCAGCTGCCTAAGCAGTTAAGTTGTGGGTACCCATGTGTCAGAGTTTTCCTCATTTATAAGTCTGAGCAAATCCCATTCATCAGACAACCATCTGAAAGCTTTCTAAGACTTACTGATCTATCTATCTATCTATCTATCTATCTATCTATCTATCTATCTATCTATCTATCTATCTATGGTTTTGGTAGAAAATTCATAAAGTACAAAAGGGTACTGAAACCAAGCTTCTTCCTCCCTCCTCCTCTGGCACCCTGAGCCCAGAGGCTCATGGCATGCCAGGCCCAGAATGGGGCATAGTGGGGAAGCAAACTGGGTTCTAGAGGGCTCAGCACATTCCGGAGATGACAGACATGGGAGCTGGATCTTGCAAGAGGCCCATGAGATTTCCAGCAGAAGACAAGAATAGCTGTGGTGGATCTTGCAGGGAGGGGCCAGCAAAGGCTGAGTGAAGACCTATAAAGGCCCTAGATTCTGTTTGGTATCTTCTTGGGCAAAAGAAACTGGAGAGTTGGGACTAGTGTAAATGTGCCAACCCAAGTGGCATGTGCCAGGGTCACAAACACAGGCCGGGCCTGTTCAGAAAAAGGCCAGAAAAGACCTCTGACAGATACCTTGCCCAAAGTTCTGTCTGCCTCATGAGTGTCATGTAGATAAACCTTGTGGCGTTGGGATTTTAGGTCAGGAATTGGACACAGAAAAGGGGCTTTGCTTTATAGGGAAACAAGCAAAAGGATTATCCTCCGCATTCCTTAGGCCAGCTATGCAAACTACCACCTGCCAAGAGGAAATGCCATCTGTGAGGGCAGGTACAGCAGTTATCTGGAGCACAGGGTGAAGAGGCCACTGTGGGCGGTTTCATCTTGCTTGGGCCAGGAGCTTCCTTTTGTTCTGTATCAAGGAGTGGATACCCACATTTGGCCAAGGTATTACCAGTCTGGGCTGTGAGTGAGCGGGCAGCCTGATATGACCACTCCCCAGAATGAAGAAACCCCTCTGAGGTCTGACTGCACTGGTCTGAGCTAAAAGCTTCCAATGGCCCAGAAAAAAAGTTTACTTCTTTTATCTATCTGTAGATACTTTCAAAAGTGGTAGTAAAATGTCTTTGCTTTGCTTTCAAATCAGCATTATAATGAACCGTGTTTGCTGTTTAAGCATTGAGATTATTTCCTAATTCTTGGATTTCTGTAACACCCATTATCTTGGGGCTGCAATATAGTCCTTTTCTTGCTGTAAAACAATCCTTTGTTGTAAAAGCAATCAAACAGGGAACCTGACTCATGCTCAGGAGCAAAGGGAGGCAATATGCTCCCTCAGGACATGAAGTGTTTGTCTACTGGTGGCAGATCCTACCGCCAAGCTAGCCACCAAATCTCTGAGGATAAAAGCAATACTTGCCTTTTATTTCCTCCCTCCCTGGACAGCCCATGCCCATGGTGAGCCAGGTCAGATCAGTTCATAGGGTCCCTTAGGCCCATATATAAGAGGAAGATAATTACTAAGACACTGTTACTCTACAAGCCCTTCCAAGTTTAGAAAAACAGCATATATGGCCTCAAGGTCATCTGCCCACATGTGGTCACATCCCTATCTTTACACATGCACAGAGCTTGACACAAGTTGCCTTTGGACTCTGAGTGAGGAAACAGTGTTAAAATGTGTCTACCAAGTGCCAGAGAGAATCCAGTCTGTCTCGGCCTAAAAGGACTTTCCTCCTACAATAGTGGCCCAGGTTCATGGACATTGAAGACACAGCTCCTCCCCAAGGCTCATCTGTGCTTTGTGTGCAAAAAAAGCAGAGGGGCACTGAGGGAGAAAGTACCAACGAGTCAAGGTGCATCAGGGTGGCAGTAATCGTGTGGTGGACAGGGGATAATGATAGCCCACACCCTTGGCTTTGGCCATAAGTTACAAACATGTATCTGAGGACCAGACAGTGATCCTTGGTTATCTCCTGGACTGATGTTTTTGCCTATGCTTTCTATTCCCAGGACAGATACTGACAACCTTACTGATCTTCCAACCTAGAAACTTAGAGGGGTTCATCCTAGATACTTCCTTCTCCAACTCATGCCCCATGTCTAGTTTGTCACCAGATTCTACTGATCCAACCTCCATAAAATCTCTTTCATCTGCCTGGAGTGGATCCTGTGGGAAGACCCAGCCACCTCTATTTCCCTCTGCTTCTGGGGTACAGTGCCTGGAAAGCAACAAGGGCCTCTAAAAGCTGGACTTGAGACGCCCTAGTACAGCAGCCCAATACACACATCCTTCCCTCCAGTGACCTGGCTCCTGCCCTGCACTGCACCCAGCTCAGCTGTTTCCCAAGACAATAGCTCTGGTATGCTTGGTTGTCTCCACTCCCTGTGGACTGGCAATGGGATCAGCAAGGCAAAACTGTGCTGGGGACACTGAGTTATTTCCTTCTATCTGATTTCTACTTGCTGGGCTGGCTCAGGAAGCTCAGACCCCAGGTCTTCTGACAACAATGAACATTTTATCATCACTACAGGAAATTTAGAGTTTATTCTGGGTCTCCAGGCACCATAGTTAACATGACTAAAAAGTGCTGCTTCCAGGGTTGCCAAATGATAGGACAATGTGAAGTTGAGTGTAACCTACAGGATGGGTGGACTTTTCTAAATGTTATCAAGGAGGTGTGGAAAATTCCAGTGTATGCAGGAGGGGATTAAGGGAGAAGGTCCTACTGGACCACACTATATACTCAATGGGACAGGAGAAGTGCATCAAGATCATGTTGATCCAGAGGCTAGGAATACCTGATACCTTTTTAGTCCATTGATATTAGTTGGAAGGCCAGGGAAGGCTTAATAAGGGAGGTGCTCAAGGGAGGTGCTGTTATGGCAACTTATCATCTTAAGAGAGAAACTTGGGAAGAAATATGCCTATCAAATATGATAAAAGAAAAAGATGTCAAAATTTCCCTGGACCAATTTTGTTTGTTTTAGACTTAAAATATTTATTTTGAGAAAGAGAGAGAGCGAGCAGGGAAGGGATGGAGAGAGAGAGAGAATCCCAACCAGCCTCCACACTGCCAGTGCAGAGCACTACGTGGGGCTCAAACCCATGAATCATGAGATCATGACCTGAGCCAAAACCAAGAGTCAGAGGTTTAACTGACAGAGCGACCCTGGTGCTCCTGTTCATTTTAGATTTTAGAATGGTAAGAAAGAGCATGAAGAGAGAAGTCTGTTGCATCTAAACCACAATTTGAAAGGCATGCAAAAGCAAGAAGTAAAACATATTGCTTACCTTGTGAACACTGGTCGAGACATTTAGGAAAGAGAAATCTATGGAGAGGAAAAAAGAGAAATATTTAAAAACATTAATGTTAGGATTGTCACTGGTTATTTCCCACTAAACTGTGACTATCCAAGCTGACTTATTCAATAAGGCAAGTGGCAGGCAGTACTAAGTACCAAGAATAGCCATGGCTCTGCAAAAGGTTTTCACAGGAAAACCAAGGAACCCCACAGAAATAGCTCTTATGTGGCCAACTCTTGATGGAATGTTGAAGAGGGGATACTGTTGAAGAGGGGATATAGGGCCTGTTCTCTATAGACAATAGGAAACAGAGAAAGAAAATTGATGTTTTTTTTTTTTTTTTTTTTTTTTTTTTTCTTTGAAAGAGACACTGTCCTGATAGTGAAGGGAAATTTCATGGGAAAATGAGAATTACCTTCCCCTGTTTGGGTCTTCAGTACTAAAGCTGCCACACTTCCCTTCCTGTGCACGCTAGAATCCTGGTTCTCCTTTAACACTATTCTGAGCTCTGATGGTGAATGAATAGCAGGAAACTGACTGGATCACAGATGAAGCAGGTGAAGGTGACTGATTCAAAGTGTGAGCTTGTTAACTAAGAGAAAAACCCACTCTGTCAGTGCTTTAAAACTCCTAAAACATCACAGTACCCTTCTCAGGGAAGAGAGCTAACACTAGTGAGAATAGCTGCCTTTTATCAAAGTTCTTCCTATGGCCTGGGTACCATGCAAGCAGTTCACATGTATGGTCTTGCTCTGTCCTCATGTCTACTCCATGCCTTGGGTACTCACAAGCTGAGAAGAGCAGGTGGGTTTGTAACAGCTGAACAGTCTAAGCACTCTGCCCATGGCCTCAGACAAAGCTAGAAAGTGGGAGGGCTTATGCAGGGACCCAGGTCTGTTTAGCACCACAGAGCTCCCATGTTTTCTCTCCCTACAAATGAGATGCTTGCTGAAGCCACGCTTCTGAATTGTTGTTGGTCTAGGTGGCACGTGGTAATGATGTTCAAAACACCGGGGAGAATTTCTCTCCTGCAATCTCCTTAGTGGTGGCAAGTCATCATCATTCTATTTGCTTTCTGAAAACACTATTTGGAACCAAATTTTGTGGACAAGTGAGCTGGATGAATACGACTTTGGACCGTTGATGAGGTTCTCTTGCCTGATTCCCTCATGGTTTCTGAGGAATTCCAAGGAGGAACCCCGACGTGCTCTGGGCAAGATCAAGAGTCATGGAACAGGGAAGAGACATCCTTCCACACTGGAGTTTCCCCAAGAACAGAACTCACTGACTTCACTGCACTCAGTCTACTGAATGGCCTGACACAATAGCAAATACATTCTTAGAAAGTGTCTGTGCCCATCAGTGCCTGTCACTTTAGAGTACATGCTCTTAAAGGCCTTCTCAGCACCCTGCTAGCTCCCTCACAGCAGCCCACAGCAATTCACACCAAAGACATCTTAGACAAGACAAGCAAAGCTCCCCCTCAAGGCATTTTATCCAATCACAGGCTGGATGCTCATGCTTTAAATCTCTGACAGCTGCAAAGAAAACATAGACTTGCACATATATATGACTCCCTAAAACTGGAATGCAATTTCTCTTATCTTGGCATCTTTGGCATCTGTCCTTCAAATTCATGTTAGCTTTCTTTCCTAATCCAACTAGGAGTTACCACTGCTTCTTTATAATTCTTATAAAATTGCATTAAATATTTTATTATAGGACTTCCTATCTATGATAACACGATTGATTGTGTACATTCATTGGTGTGGCATTTGGAAAATTATTGAACTTTTCTGAGCATTAGCTCCCTCAAGGTAAAACATGGTAATGATGCCTACCTTAAAGAGGGATTTTGAGGATCAAGAGAGGGTAAAGCATCACAGTGCGAGCGAGACAAATAGCACAAAATAAATGTTGGCTCCCTGCTTTCCTTCTCTACATATCATCCTCCTTACCAAACTCTAACGTTTTTTTTTTATTTTATTTTTTAATTTTTAAAATTTATATCCAAATTAGTCATCATATAGTGCAACAATGATTTCACGAGTAGATTCCTTAGTGCCCCTTACCCATTTAGCCCATCCCCCCCCAAACTGTAACATTTTTGAAGAGTGCCTGGCATA